AGCCGGGTATAATAGATCCATTTGGGTTTTTGTAGAAAAGTCTATTTTACCCTTAATGATATATAATTTATATATTGCAAGTATATCTTTCCTTTATGAATAGTTTTATCAATTGATATATCATATTTCTATATTTTCAATTCTAACGGGTATAATAGATCCATTTGGGTTTTTGTAGAAAAGTCTATTTTACCCTTAATGATATATAATTTGTTTATTGCAAGTATATCCTTCCTTTATGAATAGTTTTATCAATTGATATATTATATTTCTATATTTTCAATTCTATCCATTAATTCTATCCTTTGATCTACAAGATTAGCATAATCTATAATCTTTCTTTTATATTCTTTAATAAGTTTAATATATTCCTCATTCGTTCTATCTCTATTTTCTAGTTGAGTTTTAATATTTTTTATTTTTTCTAACATCCTTTCTAATAGATTATCTAATCCTTTAGCTGTATAACCAGGCTTATTTATCTTATATTTCTTTTTTCTTGGTTTTTATCATCTAATTTTCTTCTAATTTGAAATATATCCGAATAACAAAGTTATTTAATCCTTTAGCTGTATATCCAGGCATATTTATCTTATATTTCTTCTTTCTTGGTATTTAATTTTCTTCTAATTTGAAATATATCCGAATTACTCTTAAAATATTTCTTTAATTTTTTATCAAATTTTTCAAGTTCTAATATGTTTCCATCTTCTTCTAATTGGATACATATTTCAGTAGTATATTTCATTTCATTTCTCATTTTTTCTAACAAATTATCTAATCCTTTTACAGTATATCCTGGCATATCAATTATCAACTGATAATAAAGCATACATCAAACAACATCATATATAATCCCTGCGATTCTTTCCAGATATAAGGAGAATTCTATCTAAATTTAACAAAACTAATAGTTTTACCTTAGTTTTGATCTCTGGTTTATCTTCTTAGAACAGAGTGACCTTCAAGCTCCTGGATCTGCAAATTATTCCTTCAATGGCTTCCTGCCTACAAGGATTCTTGCTATTCCAGCTTATGCTCTCACTGTATCTTTTCTAAGGATTCAAAACTATAGATCTTAAATAAGGAAAACTCTTCTTTTGTTAAAGTAAGAGAGAAATTCTTCCTTTCAATCTATCAAGAATCTATGGGAAGAGTAGTTTAAAGACTCATATCTGTTTAAGAGGATTGGAATATGAATGATAATATCAAAGTATTATTGATATCGAAAGATTTGGTACAAGATCAACAGAATATTTGGCTTTCTCACAAGTTGAGTGCTCAAATTTTTCTCTCCACTTCGTTCTGTCTTTCTCTCAGCCCGAAGGCCTCTCTTT